CCAAACGTGTGTGTCTGCATGCAGCTGGGTCTGGTTGAGCTGTACTAGCTCTGGAGCTTCTGATTCATGGAGTCTTCTGAGACTTCAGTGGCATGCTTAGAAGTGGCATGTGGAACTTCTTTGCTGAGTATTTACTCAAATTGCATTTTCAGTCCAAAGGTACCAGCAGCAGGATAACAAGCCTATTCCATGTTTGACTAGGCTGCTGGGTTCTGTTGGTATTATCATACAGTCACAAGGAGACAAGGCCAAAGGACACTATCATGACTGCTGTGCTATCTCAGGGGGCTGCAGCTGCATATCTACATGGTGAACAGCGTTACTGCAGTAGCAGTGGTCAGGCTTTCTCTGGTCTGGGAAGTTTCCACACCTTGAATGAAATGATTTCTGTGAGAGCTGGCCCTGCTTTGAGCATCTACCAATCATCCTACCTTTCCACGGAGCCGGATGTTTTCCATCACCTTTCTGCCCCACATCCAGTACCAGTGCACGAATATGCCTGCATCTTCCCCATTTCCTGCAGAAGCAGTTCTCTAAAGCCACAGCAGTATAAAAGACATGATGAAATCTCTTCCTTCACCTCTTGGTTCTGAAGACTTCTATGCTCACACTTTTTATTTTCCTTGAAAATTACAAAGGAAACTTGCAGGAAGCTTACTTGAAAGCCAAGCAGACTGGTAAATGTGAATTGATAATTCCTGTTGGAATTAAGTGGAAATGCAGACCAGCTAGCTCAGTGTTGGGGTAACAGAGCTGAATCAACTTTATTAGAAAATGAAGAGTTTTTATAGGGATTGGGGAGGAAGGTTCAGGAATATGGGAGGAGAATAGGAGGAGCATGCTAATCCTCCAACTAGGATTGGGTATAGGAAAATACATAAACATAGAGAGCATATACATATGTATGTAGGGGTAGGATAGCAACAGGGTAAATCAGGGATTGGTCGAGCTGCTGTGGCTCCACGAACTGTCCAATGGCAGCTGACACTAGCTCTTGAGCACGATGTCCATGGCAACCACTTGCAACATGATGACAATTGAAGCTGCAGCTCGATGACAATATCACACCTAAAAATCACTTATAATACAGGCTGTTTAACCACCATAATTATGTTCTTTACAATCACAAAATCCACCTCCAACAAATTCCCAGAGAAAATGCTGCAGAATGGACATTTTTGCAGCTGAAGTTCCATCTACCACCATCAGACTGTCTGTAGCCACCTGAGCTCACCCCGTGGGCAAGGGGCCTATATCTCTGTCCCACATCTCAAGGTAGAACGCATCTCCCAGGTCTTGCCTCTGGCTTGTAGAAGCAGTGTTACTGGGAATCGTCCTTTTTTTGTTCTTCCGCTGTACCTCTCCCTTGGTGGGGGGTTGGGGGGGGTGAAGGGGGTGAGGGTGAAGGGGGTGGGGTGGAAGGGTCCCCTTTGGGCTACAGCCACATAGAGCCCTGTGGCAGTGTGGAGCCAGGTCTGTGGCAAGAGGTGGGCTAACTCTGGCAGACATAAAAAACCCTTTGTTTTATGTCTTTGTGTCTCAGCGAGGTAAGAACTATTGAGGAAGGGGCTTACCATTTCATGTGAAGGAGGGATATGCCCAATTGCCACCCCTTCCTCATGGTGCAGGCAGGCATCGTTCTCATGTGTGTGACATGCTGCGTGTGTGTCCTTGGCTGGCTGATCTGTTGCATTTGTTTTTGAACGGGACAAGGGCCAGCTGGTAAAAACTGCTGTCAAGAAGTGTAGCTGATGGGCCTTAGAATAGCTGGTGGAATTTGCGAGGCAGTCATGCAGCGTTCATTCATCTATCTTAGTTTTACTTATGTCTGCCCAAGTGCTGCGGTTGTACTAGCAGGGCTTGAGACTTTCTCCTTTTCCCCTCCCCTCTCTCATGTTTCTTTCCTCTCATTTTCCTTCCTGTCCTTCTCTCTCTCTCTCTCTCTCTCTCTCACTCTCTCTCGCACGTGTGCGTGCGCACGCTCTCTCCCTCCCTTTCTCTTTTTCCCCCCTGCAAGGCTGATGGATATGCAGAGTATGTTAAGAAGCAAGCAACACTGTCACTGAGCTGATGGTGCTCAGTGACTCCTCGAGCTCCTGGCTAGTCTGTACTGCAGGAGCTTGACACCCTGACCACTGAGGCATAAAAAACAGAGAATTGGAAGCCTCAGCCTGACAGGCACTGGAGCATCCCCCAGAGAGGGTCCACGATGTGTGTCTGTGTGCAAGTGTGGGGAGGAGGGCAGTGGGGATGGTGGGGGAGGAGAGCAAGGCAGGAGAGGATGAAACAATGAAATGTCAGCCCATTCCCACCCGCAGCCCTGCTGCAGCACTGATGAACATTTGGAAAGCACTGCTACCTGCTTCATGGCGTGCACAGCATCAGCATGGGACAGACTGGGTCTGTGCAGCCTCGGGAGAAAAGGAGAGGGGAGCGGCGGGTGTGAAGGGGAGGGAGGGAGGGAGGCAGTGAGAGAAAGAGGGAGGGAAAGAGGGCGGTGGGACAGCTGAGAATGAGGGGTTGTCCAAGGGGAGCATGTTCCCCCATGGGACACAACTCTTGCAGGCATGTGACAGTTCACTGTGAGCTTCATTTGAAGCCTGGGGTGCTCCTAGTGCACAAAGGACAGGACAGGCTCTTCTGTGCACTCTGTGCAAATAGCCTGCACCAGGGATCAAAGTCTGTCCTGTCCCTCTGTCCATGCACTGTGCAGCTCCAGGGGAGGATGTGGTAGCAGGACTCTCCCATCATCTTTCACACGTCACGTTGGTCAGGCAGCCCAACTGTTTTGTGCAACTAAAAAGGGTTAAATCTTTGAATTTCTCACTTCCCTGTGGAAAGCAAGAAATGAAACCCCTGAAGAGGTGGTGTGTGATCTCCTCCCTGTAGAAGAGGCACCCAGAGGATGAAGGGATTTCTGTGCACCACACACTGGCAGGAGGATCTGGCCTTGAGTCTTCAAGGACTGGGAAACATCATGATACTCACAAGTGAAATTCCCAGACCTATTGCTGCCCTTGTGCTTTGCAGGCTTGAGCAAACAGCAGAAAGACTAAGCTGGGCCAGAGACCTGCTGGAAGCCAAAAGGCTTTGGGAGCAGGGGGCAAGCAGGAAGGGCTCTAGGTGAGACAACAGCCTCAGCTGTGGTGGTGCAGAAGCAGAAAGGACCAGAGAGAAGCTGCTATGTCCTGCAGCAGATATTGGGATTCCTGGCTTGCAGAAGGCAATGCAGATGCTTTTGCCAGTGGCCCTGGTACATCAGGTGGCTCCTGACATCTCTTCTGGCATTGCCAGCTTTGCCATGCCTCCCGCTTTTAGAGTGAGCATAGTGATGGAGGTAACATTCAGACGCCAAAGTCATCTATCATCCATAGGGTCAGGAGCAGAGAGAAATTGTAGGTATGGTGTACGCCACAGCGAAGAAGGGTCTGAAAACAGCTCCATTCTTTCTGGCTCATGGTGAATTATTTCCATTCCTTAGAGGCACTAAGGAAACCCTCTCTGAGCTTGTGAAGCGATGTGGTTGGCACAGCAAGGTGTGGAAGCACTTGGTGCTGCTGACTTGGGACCTCCTCTCTGAGGATGCTGTGTCAGGGGAGCAGGGGGAGAGAGCAGGCTGAAGCTGTTAGATGCAATCCCATGGGTCTGAAGGGCAGTCAGAAACAAGGAAGGGAGAGACCTCTAACAGAGACCTCCTGGAGCAGATCAATGATGGGCCGGTCCTGCTGTCAGCACATTCAGTGTGTTCATCTTGCCGTGCAGATGGAAAGGTAACTCATTTTCACTGAAGCAGCATCATGTGGAGACCAAGATGATCTATATCTGACCCTATATTTTGGTGGCAAGAGCATCATTCCCTTTCCCCTGGAGCCAGTGGGCCAGCAACTTGCCTAAACTGTGTCCTGAGAGAGAAGGCCTCTTACTGGCCTGGGGACCCAGGTGTGGTCTCCAGGGTGGGTCTGTTAGTTGTGCTGGGCAGGGGTGCTGAGCCTTGGGTGCTCTGGACATGGCATCAGGGGTCTACTGCCCAACTGGAGTAAAGGCAGCTCCTGGGTACGGTATGGGGGCTGCACCAACACCAAGGACCAGAGCAGGCAAAGGTCATGGTCAGCATCTTCTACTGCAGGGTGGCAGCACTCTCCTCTTGACTAAGGAAACCTACCCTTTCTCCTGCCATGCTGCCCTGTGCACGTATATATTTATGAGTGGGAGAAGGAGACGGAAAGGAGGAAGAAGGACAGAGGACAGTGGAAATCTGTCATTTGAGGAAAATTTTCTAGTAAAGCAGCAGCAGTGTTGGTATTTGCATGGAGGTGGGCCCGGGTCAGAGCCCCATGGTGCAAGGCTCTGTACTGAATAACTTGCAGCTGAAATATGAAGCAGGAGGTGACATGTGAAGAGAACAAACAGATGGGAAGAGCGGGTGCTGGCAAGGTGATAAATAGCTCTTTAAGCATTTCTTCTGCCTTTGTCTAGAAGGCTCAATATGTCTGAAACTGATGCAAACATCCTTCTCCTTGGCTTACAGTGTTGAACAAATGGTCTGAAACTGTGGCCATGTTCACCTGGAAGGGTACCCAGTATCTGGAAGATGGTTGGTTCATCTTGTCCTGCAGCAGAGACCCTATCTGAGCAGCCCTGTCCTTGTATTGTGTTACTTGCCCTGAGTGCTGTAGGGCCACAGAGGCAAGGACCAGCCCCATCAGCATGTCCCAGAGGCCTCTCCATCCCTCCTTATTCCCTTGATCCTCAGCATGGGCTGACAGAAAATCCCACTAGCTCAGCAGGCCTGAGCTATGGCATGAAAAGGATGCAAAAAAGATGGCTGTACCCATTTACTTCATAATTTGCCCACCCATATTACCCTTCCTCAAGGTGTCTAGCAGTGTTTTTACTGCAGCTATCACTGGAGAACAGTGCACAATGAAGAGCTCCTTTCTCCCAGAATGGTAACTGTCAACTCAAATCAAGTGACCTTTTGTTCTGTCTCTTTAACTTAGGGAGTGAATTTTCTGGGACCCCGTACAGCCATCCACAGTATTCAACATACAATGACTCCTGGAGGTTTCCCAACCCTGGACTGCTGGGTAAGTGGCTACTCCTGCCTTGAGAGCTCAGAGCAATGTGTGTGATGTTTTTCCGCCCCTGGGGTGGGCAGAACATGTGTAGTGACCTGGTCCTCAGTCCCTATGCTCAGCCCATGCATGGGACTGCAGGTCTCCTTTGGGGTGCACAATTATTCTTGATTCCCTTTGCCAAGAAGCCCTGACCCAAACCCCTTGCTGTCCTGCTTCTGCCTGATAAAATCCTTGGATAGGCATGGGGTGTTGCTAGAAAGCATGATACCCATTTTGTTGAGGGTAAGGGATCCTGTTCAAACAAAACTTGGGGTGTCAGCTTGCTTACAGCCAGATGTAAGCCCCATCAGTCCCCATGCCACTGCTGCTTGCTCATACAAGCGCCTTGCATCTCTCCCTGACCTCATGTTGCATTTGTGCCCCAATTGTGTGTTTGCCCACTCCATCCCTCCTTTGCAAGGGACCACCATGCCCATGCAGCCTTGCTGATGCCAGCACAGTCCCTACAAGCAGTGGGAGACAGAAGCCTTGTAGCTCATGCAGGATCATAGCCCTCATGTGAAGGATAAACATAATCCATTTTACACCACTGTCAAAAGCTGGCCCCCTTTGACCTTATATACATGTAGCATGCAGTAATTAGAATTTTTCCCGCATAATTTGCATGGATGAGGTAAGTAAAATACCAATTAATTGTCATCTCTCAACACAGGACTAGCATGCCTTAGAGATTTCCAGATTTATGGATGACAGGGCTGTTATATGTGACCTCCAGCAGCGAAATAATTTTGAATTTTTGTCATACTTTTTTCATCCAGTTTCTTTGTTTTAAGTAATTGAGTCCCCATGTAATTGAACCACCCAGGCTGTATTCATCATTGTTCTTGTCCTTAAACAAATCCTTGGGGAGCCATAGGCTGCCTCTGCCTCTCATGCCATGGTGCTGGTATAATGCTGCTATTTGCTGTGCCACATTTATGGGTTTGTTAGCGCTTCCATCATAAATCAGCAGACAGATCTCCAGCTAATATGGATGGGCATAGCTGCACAAAGCCAGGGGAGTCCCCATGCTCAAACTCACAGTTTCCATGGCCACAGCTGGTAGTGCTGGTGGGATCTTGGCTCGGCTGCGTGGGAAAGATGCTTTTGCCAGGAGGAAGAGCATACACCATGCTTTCTTCGTATCTCATTTTGTAACTCCTTTGGAAGCGGAAGAGCTGCTTCAGCAATGCTTTGCATCATGGATGGGCCTAGGAAGCCAGGTTGTAGGTGACTTTCTAAATTTTGTGTGCAAACCAGTAAAGAAACAGGCGTGGCACTAAAAATAAATGACAACCCAGCCCTAACCCTGCCCTTCTTCAGGGCTTTTGGAGGGGCACCTGAACTGTGTGCTGTGCTCCTGCCTGTGGGTGTCCGCTACCACAAGGGAGGATGTGTGCACCATCTGGAGCCATCCCAAAGCCATTCCTGAGCTCTGTGCATCCTCACAGGGGTGGACAGTAACCTTTCGACTCTATCAGCAGCAGGTTGTGACCATGACCTGCTCAGCTCTTCATTTGAGGTGATGGGCTTTTACCAGCTCTGAGTGTGCTGTCCAGGGTGCCGTGCAGGGTAGGTCTACATGGTACTCTGAATATGCTGGAGATGCATAGGTCTGGATCAGGAGAAGACTTTAAAGCAGAGGCTGGTAGGAGACAGCTGCTTGCTGCCAGGACAGCTTTTACCTTTACCATTCCCTTTCTTCTCCATTTATCCTCTTTTTCTCTTTTCCTTTTTGGATGATGCATTTTGGGGGCAAGTTCCATCTCATCTTTGCCATATGAGCACAGTTATGGAGATGGCATGCTCCTTGCAGCAACGCTTGTGACTCAGGCTGGCAGGGATCTCTCCAGCAGTATTTACTCAGCAGCATGCTATGAATCTGTGTTTAAATGAGACAAGGGCAGAAAAATTTAGATGCTACTGTTTTCAGAAACTTCAGCTTGATTGAAGTGGAAATGTTTCATGCTTTTTTTTGTTTAATTTTATTTTTTGCTGTTGTGAATTGTTAAAATATATAATCTTTCCTTCCTTTCTTTTTACCCTCTTCAATATACTTTGTTTTGGCATTTTCAAAATCTTCTTGTTTCAGTAAACACAGGTTCAGTCATTGTACAGATAAGGTTATATTGCTTTGAGTGTTCAACAACACATTCATTTGGAGTCATGAAACTGGAAGTCTTGATGCATCAAAAAGAAAAAGAAATTGGGAATTTTTGTTCTGCAGCAAGTCCTGAAGATTAATTTATCATTTCAGTTCAACCTGGTCACAACATGGGCGGGACTGGAGATTCCTGGAGGGACAATCCCCTTGTCTGACCACCGATAGGTTTAAGTACAGTGATATGATCTGAGCAACGTCTCCACAATCAGCCACAGGCTGTGGATCAGACATCTCTTATGCCTTGCAAAAATCCCTCTTAACCACAATTCTGTCTTTGTCACTGGAAGCCTGTTCCTGCACTCCCATCTTCCTAGTATCTGCTAATCCCACTGCTAATTCAGGGCAAGTAGGAGTCTGTGGCAGTGCCTTAAAACCCTGCCCCAAGTCTCCCTTCAAACCCAGAAGATGCCATGTGATGACCCTGAGCACCTGCTGTGGAGAGGAGGTTAATTTGAACTATATCCAGGATGCTTCCACTCCTCTCAGGAGTATACGTGAGAGTATTTAGTAATTCTCTCCTGAGAGCAAGCTCTGGCAGTATCAGCCTCAGAAGAGAAACCCTGACAAAATTAATCAGGACTGGTACATTGCCTGACACAGTTTGTTTTACAAAGTCCTGTTCCTTTCACTGAGATGAAAGTGTAATACTGTAAGCACTTAACAGTGCCTATGTTCAATTAATTCCCTGTGCTGGCAAGGAAGAATTACACAGCAGCAATCACACCAGGCTGAGACCTGTGAAAGAGCAGCTAAAAAGAAACATGCCATGATTTGCAAGTGGTAGGAAGAAAGGATACTTGGGTTGAAAAATTATTTTTTGGGGAGCATAAAAAAAATAGGAACTGAGAGACAGATGAGAATGGTGAGAAAACTTTAGTTGTTATCTTTGTCCTGTGCATGTGGAGCAGCAGTGAGGGGTGTGAGGTGGTGTCCTCATAGGAAGGCAGAACCATGCTTGTGGCATGCAGGCAGTTGGGAAGAGGCTGTCTGGCCCCAGAAGAGCACCAGCTGCTCACCATCACCCCAGTGCTTGCTCTGCTCTTGCTTTGGTGCTCCCCATTCCTGTGCACCATGCAGCCAAGCCACATCTGACCCCACTGTTGTGGGATATGGTGGAGATGGGGGACTGTTCCCTCTGGGGCAAGCCCAAATTCTGTGCCCCACTGCTTTGGTGCCCTTCCTTGGGGAAGGGCAGACAACCAAACCACAGTCCTCCAGAGTGGTCAAGAGAAGCAAGGGCAGAAGAAGAAGTCAGTTGCCTGCTGCAGCTCTGCAGCATCTTCCTGCTCTTGCGTCCTGCTGTCAGCCCTGTTGGCACCCACACCCTTGTGTGGCAGGGACATGACAGCCTCTTCTGTGGAGGTTGGTCCCTCCTTGACCACAGCAGGACTGAGGACAGACCTTGAGTTCTAAGGGGGATGTGCTGGGAAGAGGTCACAAACCTTGGTCACTCATGTGGTGTCTGGCTTGGTGGCTGTAGGAGGTGTCCCCGTCTCAAAGCCAGACATGGAGGTGAGGGAAAGGCCCCTTTTTCCTGTTTAGTGGTGGTTTTGTTTTTTTTTTTTCCCCCCCACACTGTGTAGTGGATTGCCTGCAAGCCTGCAAGTGGTACAGTGCAGGGATGCATATGAAGGTACGTGCATGAGTCCTGGGGCTCATGCTGTCACTGTCAGCACGTATTGGTGCTTACCAGAATAGGGTCAGCTCAGTATGTGCATGCTAAGAGTGGATAACAGCAACACTGTGTAATGAAGAAAAATTATTCAATTTTGTGCTGCCTTGTAGTATTTGGTTCAATGATGCTTGCTGTGGGTTCCATTTGATGTGATGTCCCATGTCCAACACGGACGTGGTCCCTGTGCATTGGTTGGGTGGGTTTGGCTGCACGATTGTGGTGTTCTGGCTGCCAGTGCTGGCATGATTCCACACAAAGGCAGGTCTTGGAGCTGGTCAATTAGGATTAGATTCAATTCCTCTGTGGGTTTCTGTGGAAAGATTGGAGAATAAGTAGGCACCAGAAATGACTGTGTCAAGAAATAAATAGATGATAGTATGAATTAGAAAGGAAAAATGACAGAGGAGTGGACAAGTCTGTTCTGGATGGGGGCATGGTGACAGGAAGAGTGAATACTTTCATTTTTCACTTTAAATACAAGGTTTTTCAATTGCACTGCTGAAAGGCAAACCAGAAACATCTAACTTGAGAGAAGTGTAAGATCTTCGGAAAGCATGGGAAAAATATTGAGCTTTGGTAGCTGCATCAAGTCAGAACAGAAGTGGAGGGAGAGGGAATGGAAAAACGAAGACCCTGACCCCCGAAAGGCCCCAATTACTCGATAACCTCGTAAAGTGCTACATCCAGCTCTGGTGGGACCCAGACACTGCTCCATGAACCAGGATGAAATTGTTAGGTGCTTCTAGATCCCTCCTTTGGATTTTTCATCCCTCTGCCTGAGTTGAGCTGTTATGGTCTGTGCTGGTTCTGGTGCTGGTAGGAACTGGGGTTTCTACTTGGACCACCACTGGCTGCTCAATATCGATATTGTTGTGATGTTCTATGTGAAGAGAGTATTTCCACCTTTCACTGGCCTGTGAGTTATTTTGTCTCAAGATAATGCCTGCCCTGCAGTGCAGAATGATCCCCATGGATCATTGGATGGACATGGGCCAGAAAACTGGGCACCCCAAAAGCACAGCCCCCAGGTCACTTGCTACAGTGAACATCCCTAAAATCCTAGCTAGACTGGACATGCACATTTCAAAGTCTTGTGTACTGTTACACTTGCCTTTGTTCACTTGACCAGTTTGACTAGGGAAGGCTTCCATGTTTTCAATGGCTTGATTTTGACTGGGATAGTCAGTATACAGCATTTAATTTTAAGCTGCCAATAAGAAAGGTATTCACTATCTTTCTGAATCTTTCTAGTATTTTCTCCAGGAAATACCATTCCTGAGTCAGGGGCTTGTTAACCTCATGTCAGTTTTCTGGAAGAGGACTGTCTGTCCAGCCTAGGATAGCAGTTGTGGTGCCCTCAGAAGATAATACAAGGATGTCAACTCTACACCTGTGCAACGATCAATGGGATAATGACTCTCTGAATGGATCTGCTTTGCCACCATTGACTATGGCTTCAGATTTTTACTTTTTACTAAATAAACTTAGATGGGTTAGGTTCCTGCCTAGGAGTTTGTATACAGGCAACTTTGCAAATACTTATCCTGTCCAGTGATTTCACAGACCCTTTTGAGTTATTCTTGGATGTGGTAAAAATGCCTTTCCAGTCAGGTGGAATGACACTCCTGAAGATTGGTTTATCTCTTTTTAAACCCTGCCCTTTGTAGTGGCTTTGTCTGATTTTTAAGCGTGAATATCTGGGTCACTAAAGATGATACTGAGGACAACACAGACTGTCTCCCTGCATACAAGCTCCTGCTCTGCCACAGCACTGACTGGTGCAGAAGCCACATTCCAGTAGCCAAACCCCTTTGTTTCTGACCCCTCAGAATTGCTGATGCAGAGTACCACGTCAGTATGACACTGATCATGAAAAAGAAGTTTCGTTTGCTGCGCCTCTGCCAAGGAGCTCATTGCATATACTGTGCAATAGCAGATGCTGGCAGAGCTCTGTTTCTTTGATGCATCAGCTTGTGCTCCCCTGGAAATGAGAAGCAGGAGGTTGGTGATGAAGGCTGAGCTGATTTCCTGATGTGGCACTGTGATGGTTCGAACTTGGCTCCCTGCCAAATGTCCAAACCCCAGTAGCAGCCTCTCTTTCCTTTCCCCCTTCCTTCTTCCCTTAGAGTAAATGAAAAAAAAACTATGTAAATTGAAGAACCCGAAAATCCAACTAGTTATATAGAAAATATATATATTTGATGTATATTACAGTTAAGATGCTGTGTACACAGCAAAAAGGAATCCAAACACCGCCCGAACGGATAGGGAAAGGGGAAAAGGAACAAAAGGAGATGAAGGGACACCGAGCAGATATACGTAATCAAACTTGAGAACTAGTAAAATAACTAGTAAAACAAATCTCACCACGTCCCTTAGAAAGAAGTAGGATTGGCACACACGGCCAGCACTCTGCTATCCTCCACGTGGCAGGCCAGCGGTCGCTGCAGGCCTTAGCCTTAGATAAGCGAGACTAACGCAAGGACCCACTGTTCCTGTACTCCGCTGGAAGAGAAGAGAGAGAAGGCCTCTTTCCCCTTCTTATTTATACCCCGATTTACGTAAAAATCGTATGGAATACTGGGAACACTGCCTCTTCCTTGGTTACAAACTGGTAACCAAGGAAGGCCTAGATTAAACCCACCACAGGCACTCTGAACAAAAGCAGCCTAGAAGGAAGAGTTGGGCTTTGTCTGTCAGATGGATCCTGGTGGACCCACAACGGTGAGGTAGCCCTGCATGTTGCCAATGGTTAATGGTGATCATGTGTGAGCTTTCTCTTAGAGGCTGACTGTGCAACTGACAATCTGTATTTGGGCTTTTGAACCAGCAGTAATCACTTAGGTCATTTTAGGCTGAACAGCAAAGCCTTCATCTGGAGACTGTGCAGCAGGAGGAAAGGCCAAAAGATTCTCCAGCCTCCTGTGCGTGGAGGCTCTTGGCTGAGCAGAGGGCAGGTGAACAGCAGCACAGGGCATGCCAACTGGGTTTCTCCTTCCTACTCAGAGGGTGTGCAGGGTCATGGTGATGGAACAACTGGGGCACTGCCACACTCAGCCTACACCCAAAGACTGGGCAATCATTGAACCTGCAGGAGCAGGGTTTTCTAAAGTCTGGGGTGGGAAGTAAACAGCCAAAAACACACCTTAGGCTTCACTGCCACTGATGTTTTCCTAAGAGATCCACAGGCCCCACTGAACTCTGGTAGCACCACCTTTTCCAGGTGGAGTCAGCTACTCTGACTTGCTGAAGTAGCAGAATTTATTCCCTCTGCAGCAAGTCACATCTAGGGCTTTGAAGACCCTTGGGCATGTCTGTCAAACTGCTGTCCCACGTGCTTTGAAGGCAAGGAGCTCAGGATGGATGGCAACTCTCATGAAAACAGACCTTACAGCCCTGACTGCTCCAGAGCTATTGCTTGTGTTGGCTCTTTGTTGCCCACCCAAAAACTACCTGGTGGTCTCAGATGCACACGTCCAAGTATGAGTCATTCCAAGGGGCTTCTTCTGCACTGTGATGTGCCTTACATCTCATACATGCATAACTGGATTTGCAGACCAAAGTGGTAGTACCTTGAAATTTTTTTGACTAACTCTCTTCTTAGGATGGAGCAGAGTTGGCTTCATTGCTGGTGTGCTTGGAATGTTTATTTAATAAGTGGTGCTGTCTGGACAGATTGGCATCTCTCTAGGTACAAGTTAAAGGCTGTTCGTCTTTCAAGCAAACAGTCCAGGTTCCTGGTGATCCTTGAGTGATCACTCTATCTACCACTCTGTAGCTTTGCAGGACAGAAAAAAATCATCACCAATATTTTTCAGGCCTTTTCTCAGTAAATGAGTGCTTTCAGTGAAATGTGTTGAATACTTTGGAGTTCAGCCTCCTCTACCTCCTCCCCCCCAGTCCAAAAGAAGGGGGGAAAATCAAAGAAGTCACAATGTGCTAGTATGTTGGGGGTGTAATATTTTGACCTTTCATTTTAAAAAGTAATTAACTATTTTGGTGAAGTAGATGAAATTGATGTTTTGAGTGAAGAAAGGGAAGAAGGTATCGAACTGCCAGCAGCAATGCAAAGCAATGGTACCCACTTCTTATGCAGATTATGTGAATGTGATTTTTATTCTAATTACCCAGCCTTTATTGAAGCTCTGGCTGGAGAGCTCTCTGCCACCCATGTCAGAATGCTTCAAGCTGGCACCTTTCCACCTTTGTCTTCCTCACGGTGGTCTCATCTCTCACAGGCTCCCCCTACTACTACAGCACTGCGGCCCGTGGGGCAGCCCCACCAGCCACCGCCACCGCCTATGACCGCCACTGATGCCGGAGCCCCAGGCACTGGCGCTGACAGCATGCACCACCTGGGACAACCGCGGCGAGTCACCTTGCTACAACCACGCCAGCTATACCACAAGGGAAGGAGAAAGTAGCTACTAGGAACATGATCATTGAAATTTTGCTCTTTAAACTTGATGAACTGATTATTGTATTCTTAAATCTGGTTGAGTCTCAAATCAAACAGAGAAACGGGAGGAAGGGGTTCTCCTGAAGCTCTGTGTGGTCAAAAGTGCATAGTAGCTTCATGTTCTTTGCAGCCAGCTAGCTACTGCTTTAATCGCCTGCGGGTGCCATGGCTGTATCTGGGGATAAGGAAGAGGTGTGAGCAGCTCCCCTTGGGGCAGCTTCCTCTTGCTGCACACTGAAACAGGCTGTGAGACTCAAGGCAGTTTTCTTTTTTCTTTTCTTTTTTTTTTTTTTTTTTGTGGCAACAAAAAGAAATCAATCTGCTCAGTTTTACACAAGCACCACTGTAAATACTTGCTACTTGCTTGTTTGTATTACTAGAAGAGTGTGTTAAGCATAAGCAGTAACACTGTAAAAATACAAACTCAAAACACATCTGAAATTATGTTTTGAAACAGGTGCACTGATTCAAAGAACTCAGTAAGCTTTAAGCAACTTTGAACCAGGTTAACACTCATTGTGGCTGTATTTTGGGCTGATGTTATTTCTGTATAGAGCATCCTATTGACAGTTGTGTGAGATCATACTACATGCTGGTATCAAACACATGGGCAACTGAAAGACATGGCAATTTTGTGATATTTTACTGCTTAATATTAATTTATGTTCATATCTCATCATAGCCCTGAAACAAATTGGTGAGTTCAAGTTAAGCAGCCTCCAGGAGGGAATTCCTAAATAACAGTTGACACCTTACGTATGTCTCAATAGACTGTGTGCTAAAACCTAGTCATGAAAACCCTGAGAGGAAGGCAAAGAAGTACCATTGTAATGATTTTTGTTAAGTGGATTTTACTTAGCGGGGTGTACCGAGCATGAGGGCAGCCACACTCACTTTTCAAGGCAAACTAGAGGGGAAGGTGCTTGTTTTGGGGGTCTGTGTGTTTTTGTGAAGGCATCACAGATTCCAGACACTGTAGTCCAGACATGCATGGGGAGACTTTTGCCCTGCTAATTCCACATTTCTTCCCTCTTACTCAGAGAGGGAGCACTAATAGTCACATGTCCTTCAATGTGTGGCTTGTGGGGGACTAACCTAAGAGAGAAGAATGGCTACAAATGATCCACTAAGCAGCTACACAAATTATAGCCATGGAGCCAGGAGAACTGCTGATCTCTCCCTGTAGCCTTCTCCCGCTCCAGGCCAAGGGGCAGACAACCTCAGTCACGTACGGATGATGGGCATGACCGCATCCCTTCCCTCCTGAAGGCAGTAGAGAAGCTCCCTGGTCCTATTGAGATGAAGATCTGGCCATAGCCTCCTTACTTCTGACCCAACCATCCTCATCCACCCAGAGCCGTGCAGGGTCTGCTAAGGGGTCCTGTTGCCACTTGCCCATGAGTGCCCCAAGGGTCATTGGTGTCAAACCTGAGATTGATTCCTATGGATGAACATTCAAGGAGGTACTTACCTGCTTCAGCTGTACAAGCACTTCTCTGAAACGGCAGCTCCTGAGTAACACTATTGTCTTTCCTATCTCCCCACCTCACCACTTGTGCTGCATGTCTGGCGTCCATAGTGGCCACTGATGTACTGAGAAGTTTCGTCTCCAACTCCAGGGGAACCTTCTTATGCTATGGAAGTGCAGCCATCACTTAAAAGTTTCCAGGGCAGATGTGTTCTGATCCTTGAAAGCCACAGAGATGCTTAGGTCCCACTGGCTCAATGACATTTCAGTGGGATATTCATAGAGCCCATCAGGGATCTTGGCCAGAGTCTTTTACATTTGTGCCCCTAATCCAGAAGTAAGTTTTGTCACAAACTTATTGGTAAGATAAATCCTACTTTTATTCTGTCAGCAATTAATAACTGATACATACCCATTCTATAACTAAAGACAAATAACAGCATGGATAGTTTATACAGGTAACCTTCTGAAGCACTGCTTTGGGTTCGTACCCTTCTGAGCACCCCATCATTGCTTGGACAGACCTGCAAAGGACATTTCTGTTCCTGGGACCACATGTGAGAGCCTGGATGAGGCTCCCTGTATGCACTTTCTTTGTGAGTTCAGGAAGGGATGTGGCTATCCACTGCCTTTGCCAAAGAAGTGAGAAACAAGGGCTTGACCACAGACGCTGCTGTTGGCTTTGGAGCAGAGGTGCGCTTAGTTACATCAGCTATGGAGACACCATCTGCTTGGTGACCAGACTGGGCTAAAACAAGTCTATCTGTGTGACCAGCGAGGGAACAGCAGGTCTTGTCACTGGCATGTGGGTCTTTCACCCACTCTGCCGACTACCCTGCAACCATGTTTCTTTTATTTGTTTCCTCAGCAGCATGGGTTGCATGATGTATGTTAATTTAGATAATATTGAGAAGACCAAATATGAGACTTTGGCAGATGTTTGCATGCTCAGACAAGCAGCCCTTGTTGTTCAGCTAGGGATTTAGGAAAGGCATGGTGAGTCTGGCTGGTCTCAAGGCTTTCATTAGGACTCCCCAGGGCCAGACCTCTGCCAGAGCTGACCTGCCAGGCACAGTGGTGGGCTCCGTCCTGGAGCTGCAGGGGTGCGTGGACAGCATACAAGTCCCAGACAGAGCTGCCAAGGGACCTGCGCCTGGCCCTTATCCCAAAACACATCAGCCATGGCGTGCTCACATCTGCTGGGAGATGTTCCTGGCAAGAATGGCCAGTAAGAATTAGACCATGGAGTATTCATGCCATGCTGCTGGAAAAAGCACTTCCTGATAGTACTTTCTGTTTTTGAAAATGTTTCACTTGGTATTTACAAACTCCTTTTCTCAGGAGAACTGCACTCTCTGACCCTGATCTTCACTGGGGGGAATGTCCTCCTTGGGGAATGTCTTTGAAAGGTACTGTTGATAGAAGAAGGTGGTCCTCCGGGTATAATGGAGGACTGTCTGCATCCATTTGTCCTCCATGGCCTCTCTGTTTTATGGGGGAGAAGTCACTGGATGAGATGGAGAAGCAAATGACCCCTTGAGACTGCAAGAAGTAGAAAGAGTAAGACCAGTGCAGGGGTTTAAGTTGCTCTGCCAACCCTTTACTCAGATGGGATGCCCTGCAGAGCAGTGTATCATCACTAAACCTTTGCAGAAATCAGCCCCACGAAGTGCCTTCAGGCCATTTCAGCACTAAACTTAATAATATACTTGGCTAGATGGAGGGTTTTCCAGTACTGTGAGCTCCAGCAATAATTTTATCAAATACATTGCTGACACAGCCAGACTAAGAAATGAAATCTGGAAGGGGGAGAAGGAAAATGATGCTGTAAGACTAACTCAACAGAAGCCATGAGACAGGATTGCATGGACTGACTTTTTGAGGAAACCCTCAATCAAATGCTGTGATACTGTGACTGTAAAGACATAAAACATTGTGGGCACTGAGTTTGCTTAGTATCTGTGTCTAAAGGCTCCATTATGAAAGCATTTTTGTTAGGCAGCTCTACTGCCTGCAGAGCTCTGGATGTCTCAGGACTGGATCCACAGACCAAAAGCTCTGTTTGTTCATGGTAAAATCAGAAGAACACTGGGGCCAGAGTGTGTTTATTCCAAAATGTCTGAGCAGTGAACTGATTGACACTGGGACTGCAAGTGTTGGGACAAGCATTGGTACTTGATGCACTTGGGAAGGAGGCAGTCAGGAAAAAAGCAGCACCAGGGGAATAAAAATTAAAAATGGGATAAAAGGATGAGAGGCATCTTTTGGAAGAAAACTTTTCTGACCGGTCCATAGAGCTCACAAAAGTGGAGTGCTGACAACCCATCATCCCTCCTTGGCTCCCTATGACTGAGTTCTCTTGGTGCTGTGGTATGATGGCAGTGCAGTGGGAGAGGGCAGAGCAAGGGGTGGGGGTGGTGTGGTTGGCTCGCTCTGTCAAGTCTTAGCAGTTGCTATGCTTGTCTTAGCTGATGAGGTTGTATGTCTATTCTTATTTTCTTTAATTTACCCATTTTACATGTCCTTCTGTGTGGAAGAGAGAGGAAGCCATGTTATGGTCTTGCTTATTTCCATCCACAGGTACACATAGCTTTAAGAGCCATGGCGGAGTCAACTTGTGTAGTTGTTATTGGCTCCAACACAGCTGAGTGTCCTCCCTGGTGCTGTGCTCTTTCCTACATGTATTTACCACTAGGAAACATGAGTCCACAGGCACAACAAGTAGAACAGCACTAAGCTGATCCACCCTATGACTCTGTCCCAACCTGCTTTTTCTTCTGGGTTCATTGACTAATGTTACAGGGTCAACAGCTCTTGGCTAACATGCCCTGAAGTGTCTTTCTGGGCACACAAGTGGTGGTCCTGTATGGGCATTGTCAGGCAGAGCCAGATCAGGTGGCTGGGCACACATCCTGAGCTCCGACTAGACCTGCTTCATGCTGGAGGTAGAGTGCTCAGTGGTGACATGAGGCTGGGGACACCAGTCATGAAGGCCTATGGTCCCTCAGACCTGCTCCTGTCACAGGTACATATTACTGCAGCGTGAGAAACAAAAAGATCTGAAAGGATCAAAAACAGAGTCCTTTTTCTGGTTGAGCTAATGAGACTTGACATGCAAATACTGAGTTAAAAATACATCAAAGCGGTGTCAGGATTTTGGTCTACCCTGGCCTCCAGTCGGGAGGCCTGGAGACACACTATCAATAACGCTGCTGATTCTTTTGAGAACACACGCAGGATCACTCTCGAGGAGAAAAGACAATGCAGAAAGAATAGCGTCTTGTCGATATCACCTGGGGAGTCTTTCTGCTGTGCCTTCTGCAACCGGACTTGTCTATCTCGCATTGGCCTTTTTAGCCATCAGCGCGCTTGTAGCAAGCGTGGGTAGAGCCCTTCCCAAATCTTCATTCTCAAAGCCCAGCCATGTGTGTGTATGTGGTGTAAGGAATTGCTCACCTTG